AGCCTCGTCGTCTCCTTCATGACCATGTGATCTCTGTGAACTTATGAACGGATGTGCTCCTGGAAAGACGGCGCCGCCATGATCAGCCCTCAGGTCTCCCCGCTCCCAATGCACAGGTACCCCTCATCGGCGATATCGTTGTCGGCGCCGGTGACGCCTCCAATCTGGCGATCCGCGTGGCGCCACTCTGCTAACTGAGGTCGCCGACGAAGAATCTCGAAAGTCGCGTGCTCGGTCGCACTCACTTGATCGTAGCAAATCGCCGCCTCCAGTACTCTCGTGGTCAGCTCGCGACCGGCGACTCCCGGATCGTCCCGGGTCAGGCGTGACTCATGCCGCCACTAGGTGTGCCTGGCCCAAGGGTGGGAATCCCGTAGCTGGATGCTGCGCAGGACCCAATGGCAGGTCCTGGGCCCCAAGGCGGGCCACGCGTCCCACGCCGTCTCCGCCATCGCCGCGACCCCCGCCTTGAACTCTGTGACGGGCCTCTCCAGGCCCGAGCTGCACAGCCAGCGCCCGCGCGTTGAGGCCCACTCCGTGGGTCGAGGAGTCCGCGGCCCGCGGCGGCGGGACCTCCCCGCCGCGCGAGGCCAGTGCCAGCTCGTTCGCCTGCAGCGCCCAGTCGGCCTGCCCGCCCTTCAGCGCGCGCCCTGCCGTCGCGGTGCCAGTCGAAGCCGTCGCCCTTCAGAACTCGGGCGCGATGTCGGGTAGGCTGCCGGAGAAGACTGCCGCCTCGCTCGGAGACGCTGAAGCCTAATCCCCAGCTGCTGCCGGGCCCGACTGCCCTCCTCTGAGGCTGCGAGGCGCGCCTTCGCACTGAGCCGCCGCCAGTGCGTCGCAGAACTCCAGAGGGCTTGGACTCCAGCTGCTCCCGCGCGTGCGGCTGTTCGGCCTGCAGAGCGCTCTTTTTCTGCAGCCGCCCACCAGCTGGCCCGTCTCGTCGATCACCGCTACCCCTGCCAGCGGGGTTGAACCGAGCACTTCCGCAGACGACCCCGAGTGCCCTGAGCTGCCGTCGCTGCGAAGCGAGATCGCTCATGACCTCGGACGCGGCAGCCTCGCCCG